GGAACAAAGAAATTCAAGAAGATTTGTCTTCAAACATGAAGATGCGAGTTCGAATATCTACGAATGGAAGAATTTGAATCTATTTTTGAATATTTCTCTAAATGGCTAATTGATTGAAAACAAAATGTGAGAACATAATGTTAAAATTATAGAGAAAAATTTATAATCTTTAGATCCAAAATTTATGCATATCTTAGTCACCATTAAAGAAACTAAAGATTTGGAGACCATGACCATTTAGGAACTCATAAGGTCTTTTCAAGCATGTGAAGAAAGACAAAAGAAAAGGCAAATTACATTAGAGCAAGTGCTTCAAACAAAGTTCATGTTGAAGGAAAACAACAGAGCAATTTCAACAATGAAAGAGGAAGATGACGCAATTGTGGTCGTGGTTGTAGCCATGGCTAAGGAAGAGGAAGAGGGAGAGAGAGAATATAAAACATCCAACCATGAAGTAGATAAATTTCAGCTTCAAAAAGATATCGTGGAAGAGGTATGACATTGTTACAATTGTAAAAACTTGAACATTACGCTTGAAAATGTAGAGCTACTAATCAAGTTGATGAAGAAGAAAATTTTGTAGAAAATGAGAAGGAAAGGGACTTCACTTGCTATCAGCATATAAAAAGGAGAATGAATGAAAATCAACACTTGGTACCTCGACACCAGTGCTAGCAATCACATGTGTGGAAATAAAAACATATCTATGAAACTTGATGAATCAATGAGTGACAACGTCACATTTGGAGATAAATCCAAAATTCCATTAAGAGGCAAAAGTTACAACTTCTAGAAAAAAAAGTTTATGACATTTATATGAAAGAAAAGAGCATTTCACTAAAGGTTGTAAAAATAATTTCATTGCTAAATACCAACGACAAATAATAGAACATTTTTGTTTGCATATTCAAAATAATGTTGCAAAATGCAAGAAGGTATGTATAAAAGATACATCATGGCTATGGTATCTAATGTTTAAGCATCTCAATTTTGATGATTGGAGTTTCTATCCAACAAGAGAATGGTGTGCGTATTGCCATTCATCAATCACATGAATCAATTTTGTTAAGGATGCCTATTTGGGATGCATTCGGAAAGAGCTTGCCAAAAGAACAAGTAGAAAGCGAAGAAGTCACTAAAACTAATTCATACCGATATGTGTGGGCTGATCTTTTTAGCTCCCTTGGTTAGAGCAATTATTTCTTCTTATATATTGATGATTTTAGTAGAAAAATATGAGTTTATTTTTTAAAAGAAAAATTCAAGATGTTTGTTGTTTACACGAAATTTGAAGCGCTTATCAAAAGGGAAAAGGGGAGAATCTACATCAAAAGAATTTGACAAATTTTGTGAAGAAGATGGAATTCGTCAATCTCTAACGGTTCCAAGATCCCCTCAATAAAATAGTGTTGCTGAATAAAATAATTTAACCATTCTCAACATGGCCCAAAGCATACTAAAAGGAAAAAGGTTGCCAAAAAAAATATTCTGATTATACGGTTTATTCGTTCAACCAGTCTTCCAACTAGAAGTGTGTGGAGAATGACCTCAAGAAGCGTGAAGTGGAAGAAAGTTTGGCATTTCACACTTGAGAGTCTTCGAAAGAATTGCCTGTGCTATATGTCCGACCAAAGAAAATCCAAGCTCGATGATAAATTTGCTAACCCTTAAGACCTCGCAGGAGATTGTGGAGGATTCCTTATGGCATGTCATTGGCCTTGCATCATCAGAGCCATTACAGTTTAATATTTTTGCGTGTTAAATTATCGCTGAGTTCAAGTCTTGTAATTTACTTCTTCGTATAACTTTAATGTGTCCTTCGAAAGATTAATCAAAAATACATGTGAAGAGGAGGAGACAACTCTTAACAAAAAAAATAATTAAATTAATTTACTTTCTCATTATTTTATTTTTCTATATAATTTCTAACTTAGAAGATTGACAATTCTGGAACTTCGTAATTGTTTACTATATAAATGAGAAAAACCCACAAATCATACATTAAATGCTTGTGTATATGATTTAGGCTGCCTGAGGTTAACAACATTCGAAATGGAACAAATGAATCATATATATGTTTTCTAAAAGTATTTTTATAAAAACTTTGGTTAAACATTTTATTTTATTTTATAGATTTAAATAATCAGTGAAAAATAATTTAAAAATAATAATTTTGCCTTAAAAAATTTTTATACTTTAATTCCATTTTGTATAATTTTTTATGCAATGACCCACCGATCCGACCATTGACCTACAGGTTCAACCAGTAACCCAAGACCCAATACCTTGTCCAGGTTGATGTCTGGGTCGGGTCTAATAACTATGGACTAAATTGATAAAATTGTACTTGATTCGGTGAAAATCGGGCTTTGACCGAGTTAATCGACGATTTACCAGGCTCGGTTGACCGGTTTGATTGGATTTTGAAATTCTCTTACAAAATTTTTGGATTCAAGGGTATTGAACATTAGACCTATAAGAAAAATAATGTGTTCCTCGCCTTTTGAACATAAAGTGCTTTAGTGTTATTTGTGTGCAATAATTTATATCTATTTAATAAATCATTTATAGCTTTTATAAAAAATCTTCTTTTAAAAAATTTTGGTTAAACATTTTACTTTATTTTATAAACCTAAATAATTAGTAAAAAATAAATTTAAAATTTTAATTTTGCCCCTACAAAATTTTATATTTTATATTTTTTTTTGTAGGTTTTTATACAATGACTCGTCGTTGAATCATCAAATCACCGGTTGAATCACTAACACATTGACCCGCTGCATTGTTCGGGTTTGTGTTCGGATCGAATCTGACAACTATGATTCAAAGTCTAACAATCAGCAAAAGGTCCTATAAATGGTATGAATAATTATTTATGCTTTATGCATTCCACTTGAATAATCTTGCAATTGAATGCATTATTATATATTAGGATTTGGGATACAAATATTTTGGATTATATGTGAAAATATGTTTTAACTCTACCCTGAAGAGATTGCTAGATAATATTAAGCCCCTGGTTGGTATTGATTTAAGTCAGATTTTAATTTAAGTCAAAATCAAGTAATTAATACTAAACACGTATTTTATGGATCCCACAATTTTTTATGTGCAATAAGTTATATGTATTCAATGAATCATATATATTAAAAATAATAATGTTTTTAGCGTATTTTTATAAAAACTTTGGTTAAACATTTTATTTATTTTATAGACCTAAATAATTAGTGAAAAAACAATTTAAAAAATCATAATTTTACCTTGAAAAATTTTATACTTTAATTTTTTTTTTATATAGATTTTTATGCAATAACCCACCGATTCAACCAGTAACCCGAGATCTAGTACCTTGTCCAGGTCGGGTCTAATAACTATGTGCGTATATATAGATTTCATGATCATGATACGAACGCATCATCAATTTTCATTGTTAACAAATGCTAATTATTCCAGTAAAAATACACAGGCAGATTCAAGATTGTTATGAATACATCACATCACACTACAATCTAAACATATCCATACAACTTAGATTTTGCTCGAGCTCGGTGCCTGATTTTGTTGCAGAAGTTGCATTAAAGGCCAGAAGATGTCCAGACGATGAAAGTTTCTCGAGGCCTGAATGGTAAGAGAGATTAAAAACAGAAATAAGGATAAATGCTAAAGCCGACAAAATGATGCGAGGCCGAAAAGTAATGAGAAATGAAGAACTATAAACGGTAACTTCGAAGATAAGAGTATGCCTAGTCCACAAGCCACGTTATTCTGATACTAGTACTACTTACACCATTTATTTTTCATCTCCTCGATTAGCTTCCAACAATTAACGCTACATAGAAGATTGTAACATCCTTCTATCATTGACATATAGAAAGTAACACCGATTTTCATCTTACTACAACGTAATATCAATAATAAGACGAAATATCCAATCAAAAATTGATCTCACGTCCACGGTCGAAAGCTATTATTGATGTGGCCATTATGCAGTTCTTCCCAGTTAAGCTCTAGAGGAAAAGAAAAACTTTAGTGCCTATTCTGCAGGCAGTATACACAGCAATGGAATAATTTGTTTTAATGCAAGTTAACTATCGATATCTGCTTATCTTTTATGAATATTTTTACCATATTTTTTTTGAAGTTAGCATTTCTACTCTCTCGTTGCCTAAACCTGTGTTTCTACTTTCTCAACAATTTCTCCTTGTTTGTTAAGATCAAATTAATGAAACAGAGGAAGTTTCAGAATAGACTCGGACCATTTATGCAGAAAGACATGAAAATGATCGCCTGATCAATCAAAGAACTATTTCTTTAGCTAAGAAATGTGGGTCTTTGACAATAATCAGGAACTTGCCTATCTGTTTTGTGAAGTTCAAATGATTCCGCTATGAAATCAGGTGTTGTCATTCTCCTTCTTGCTCATGTTAATGTTTCCTCAAGACTGAATTCTTGTTGAGTGAATCTTCAGTAACTACTAAGGTATACTAGAATAAAGAGAAAATATTTAAGAAGAGTACAGATATTACATTTAGATGCTTTAGGTATTCTACGACACATTATGGATTTTGGATCAAAATAATATCAAATTCACCAGGTGTACTCTGTTGGTCTATCCTTCCTGATAAGTACTTTAGATAAAACTGCAGTAAATACTCTTCAATTTTGAATCATTAGGAATTGTCATTCGCTAAAGTATAATACAAGCAGATACGAAAAACTAAAAAAGCATCAATATCTTCTTAAGTTACTGAATGCATGCAGACGTAATCATCATATCTATACAATAAATTCTATGGCGCAAGTCTTGGGAATAATGTAATACCTCGACAATAAAGCAGGCCCATGTATTGTCTGAGCGTCTTTCCATCACACCCTTGAGCACAGTTAGTTGCAAATTATAAATTACATCAGCAATTTCCATAAAGCGAGTGTGGTCATTGCACAGCATCTGATCAAATATGAATAAGTAAAAATAAGTCATACTGCATCCACAGCAAAGCAGATGAGAAGGATTCTCACTTTCTCAGAAGAAAAAAGGCCCTCTATATTATATTGTTGAGAAAAATAGTTAAAACAATATCACGGCCAAAGCCATGGGCTCAATAATTACATGGCCTGGGATACCTCTATAAGCATGTGTCCAGGGTGCTCGAGATCTTTCACAACTATGGGGTAGACTTGTTGCTCACTTCCTAATTCCACAGCCCAGCTTGTCCCATTTTGACGATCACTGTTAACTTCAGGTCTTTTGGGAATGTTTTCATCAGTTTCCTGTCGAGTTCATTAGCTATGAATAACTGCATTTTAGCATATTCCTGTTTAATGTGATTAAAATCAAGAAAAGTGGAATCAAGTAAGAAAACATAATTGATGCTCAAAGAGGGTCTGGTGGCTTTTTTTTCCTTCTTTCCTTTCATTTTCTTTATCCAAACCCTCCCAAGTAATAGAAATATAATGTGACTTCAGAAAGAGATCTTTAATAATTTTTTCTTTCCTTTTGCACTTTGGATGGCAACAATTTTAGGATTAAGAAATTCTTTCCTAGAGTCTGATACAAATTAACACCAAGGCAATGGCTTTGCAGATTAAATGTTAATGACAGAGCATTAGTTTCTGGATTAAATCTGAGGTCAACCTATCTTTTGTACATATTTATAGAAAAGTAATGAAGAAAAGTAAAAAATAAATGATCAATGAACTTATACGAATGCATTTACCTTGGCAATCTAAGCACAATGCTTGACAATTCTAAAGCCCAAATACACCTCAATTCTTCTGACGCCACAATTTTATCCTACCTTAAGAGATTTCTTAGTGCAGTTACAGATAACACTGCCAGCAACACCCCACCCCCCCACCCCTTCTCTTTGACATCTATACAAAGGGTAATTTCTGAAAGTTACAGTAAAAAAGAAGAAATATAAAACGTGAACTCATTTAACACCAACACTTTTACAAATACATCATCCTTTAAAGGTATTTCACAGAGAGGTGGGTGACATTGTTACCTCTTTTAGAGCTTGCTGCCTCAATTTATCAGCCCGGTCAGTTACACTTCTTAAGAAGAGCATGTGTTTTACGGTTCTATCTAGAAGTCCATCAATGCTACACTGCATTCATAATAGAAAATAAAGCAAAAAATAATTACTTTAAGAGATGAAAAGGTAGAATGTAAGGCACTAAGCACAAATACTCTAACACGCACTTTTGCACCACTTGGGACAAGCTCCCGCAGCTCCTTGATCCGATCTTGGATCAATTGTCTATCTCGTGGTCTAGGTTTCTGCTTATCCACAGCACAGACCCTTCTCTTGTTGGTACTTGACAGGCTTAGTCTTTTACCTGGGTTCTCAGATCCATTTCCATGCCTCTGCTTCTGTTCGTGTGTCAATTCACTCCTGGTGCTTTCAATTGAAGATGCCGAAGGCAACAAATAATCTACTCTATTCCTTCCCTTGGCTGTAAAGGCAGGTGTTGAAAAGTTCCAAGGAACTGGATCTTCTTCCACCAAGGCAACTCGTTTGGATTGACTAGGTCTTTTGGAGGCACCCAGAAATCCAGTTGACATCTTCGTTGAGCTTGCACAGTTGAATTTGTTAGATGAATTGTCATTGGAGGAATTATCATCGGTGTTACCACATGCATTGGCAATAAGATCTTCTAAAAGGTGTCCAATATCGTCTTCTTTAACAGAAAATCCATGAGCTCCCATCCCAGAAAATTCCATGCTGCAGGTAAGATCACTATCAGGGATCAAACTGCAAGCTACATTGTGACCTGAGATAGACAAGTCATATTGGTATTGACCAGGGTTCCCGGAGACTGCTGATCCAAGTGCCTTGTGCAGTTCACTGTCCCCAGGAAAGCTCAAAATGTTACCTCCACTTTCACAAATGCTGTTATGACAATCCTCGGCAGAAAGAGTTGGTACAGTTACACCTGGCTCAGTGTAAAAACCTGTCATGTCATTGATATATTCTCCACACATCCTTGTATCGAAGCCATCACTGTAAGGGAAGGTGTTGATGTTTTCCTCCACACCAAAGGAATTGAAGATTTTACTCTCTGTTATATCTGATTTCTTATCTTCACGTGATGGATGCATGTGTTGTGATTCAGCTGCATGAATCATGCCTAATGATTGCCTGCTGATTCTGCTCTCAATCACATCTTCAAGTGTATACGGCACATCCTTTACAAACATGCCACTTAAATCTGTGACCATACGCACTGGCATATTCTGATTTGCAGTAGATATCTTGTGATATATTGGACTGGCACCGTCAATGGCCTTCTGATTTTCGTTCATTTTATATATGTCAGTGATCATTTGCTCCTCTAAATTATACACGAGAGTAGACATAAGCGATAACTGCTGATTTGGAGATTCTCTATCACATGCCTCGAAATTTTTATGGGCCTCAAATTCAGCTTTGAGATAAGTACCTATTGCTGCATCTTCTGCTACCTGATTTATCAAAGAGAAAATTAGAAATTGCACAAATGATAAAGACAAAAATGAATAATCCTAAAGCAACACAAGAAAAGAGAAAAGGCAACAGTTTCCAACAAACAGGTTTTCCCCACATAGGCACACATGTAAATGAGAAAGATGTGCCAGTAGTGATATTATGAGAATTGAAGTACAAACCACTTCCATTGATCCAAGCTGTAGAACTCCATGGGGAAACACTGGCAAAAGCAATATCGTCTGCATGAACATCATATAAAAAGGATATCAGGTGATTAATTTGAAGTTAACATATTTTAAAATGCAAAGGCACGTGCACACAGATAAAAATAAATGAAATAACACCATTATTTTAAGCAGAGTATTTGGTTATCTTACCTTTATGCCAGCCAAAAACTGAAGCAGCCATTCCTGCGGACACTGTCAACAGAATTTCCTTACTAAGGCTTCATTTTCATATTTGACCAATATGAAAGTAAAGTTGAATAACAGATTTTGATCCTGAGACTCACCTCGTCAACTAAAGCAGAACAAGATTCGTCGGTGGACATGCTATCGGAATAAATCCAGCGAGGGTTCCCAGTACATGCTACCTCGCCTACAACTCTGCTTCATTGCAAACTCAAATCAGTTTATACAATATATGATTTATACGTCAATAGTACAGGTGAAATCTAAACAAAACTTCTCAACTTGCTATTTTCTTGGTTCACTATTCTATTAGGTTTTACTGAATAATTAGGCAAGCAACCATGAGTTCCTCATCCAAGTTTTTGGACTAAGTTGTTATATTCATTCCATGATTCACAAAGATCAGTGATTCACTGGCTTGTGATGGAACAATTAAAAAATCGATTTCGCAAAAATGAATTGATGGTAGGGAAAGGGTTTCAGGTCGAACCACTAAAGCATCAAATGACTCCAGGCACAACACATACAAACTAAGGTAAGGAGTAAATAGGAATAAAAATGTAAAATAGAATAGCAGAAAAAGAACTTTCTTGTTTAGGGTAGATAAATCTTACCCCTTTCCAAATACATGATATGCATTTGACATCTCAGCAACGGCAAGAGCAATTGGACATTCACTTGGATTTCCATCAGGTACATTTGATTTATAAGCTGAGGAAAATATCTCATTTGAATATTTTAAGCCGAAATAATCTATTTTGCCCTCCATTGGATCTCTCAGCTTCCAATTGTCACAGAAGCCATCTTCCCATACAAATATCCTGAGACATTAGTTAAAACTGATGATTAATCCATATGACAAGAATTATTGTTTATAATCCATAAAATTAGCGAGTGTAAAATGTATTTTTTATATTGAAAATTATATCATTGTAATTTTAGTAGAATGACATGTCGATGCTAATGAGGCCACTAGTAAAAGAAAAATAAATCAACCAGTAGTTCTGCCTTGATTAAATTAATTCTAGTTCATTATTTTGACTCAAGAACGGCTTGAAAATGTTCTATAAGCAGCATTTTGCAAAATAATCCTCGAAATTTTTCTCCTTGGTAAGAATCAAAGAAGTGAAGGCATGGGCTCAAAACATAGATATGATGCGGCCTGCATGTACCAACGTGAAAGAAATTGAAAAGGTAAGAAAACATGCTAAAGGCATGTGAAAGAACTAACATCGTATGGTAATGAAATTATAAGTTGGCAAGTCTTGTTACATTGTTTCTATCATACGTCATTCCCCTTTGGGTATGCAGATGAACATATTCAAGCAATAGTTTTATCATTGGGTGAAGTTAATTTGTTAGTTTGGAAATTTAGAAACTTATAATAAGAAGCAGGCACCAGGTGCAAGTAAGAAGATAAGAAGGAGAGAACAAAATTCAAGCTTGTTAACTGGAAATTGCAATACAGTGACAAGTTTCTTATTTAAGATGTTGCACATTATGGAGTCTGACAAACAATGAATGTACAACTGAGTGGAATTTATAAAATGCGGCCATAGAAAGGGCTGAGAGTTGACTTACATTTCATGTTGATGCTTAAGCTTCCAGAACACTGCATAATTCCACTGAGAATTGTAGCAGAGTCTTTGGAGGAACGACCTCAGGGAAGTAATCCCCATAAATTAAACTATTATGAAAAAATAAATATCCAGTAGATAAAATAAGCAACCAGTTATCACAAAAGCATTCACTAACTGCCACGATATGATCCGCGTCCTGCTTGTACTATCCATAGACCAGCTCTTCGCTTCATTGGTGGTTCCATCGGGTTTAATAACAATAAATCCAACATTTTACACCTTTTTTCAACTATCGATGGTAATTTGATGTCACTGACTATAAAAGATTATTAAAGGTGGAGGAAATTAATGAAAGAACGCACTGGAGACATCTCAGCCATTATATTATAACCAACAGAGGAGGAAATTGAGTCAAAATATGGAGTGGGTGATCAGATCTGAACCAAAGCTTCAAACTGAATCAAGGTTAAAGCGCCAACAGTTCCTTTTGTAAAATAGATTAGAAGTGCCGAAGTTGGAAGAGACAGTATGCACCTAAATAAGAAGTATACACAAAGAAATATAAATTTCATCTGCATTATTAGGAAACAAATAAAAGAAAGACAGTGACTAACACAGGAAACTACAACTCCTCCTGAACACCAAAGGATTCTAGAGTCAACCAATTGATTTCTCCTTATATGTTCCCATTGATATTTATAACTATAAATTATGATCCAAGCAAATAAAAACAATTGGCTACAGTTACATTTAATTAATAAAATATCAATTTAAGGCATTAAAATTTCCACATCAAATTCCTCTGAGAATCCTACATGTATCTTAATTTCATATTTTCAGAACATGTTATTTGTGCGTTTCAATGTTCTTATATATATATATATTTCTTGACATTTAAACGCAGGAAACGAAGTTTCAGAGAAATTGAATTAATGTTTGGTGATTAAAAAATAGAGAATCCGGTTCTAACGAGAAGTTGAACAAGCTGCTTGCTAGTTCTATATGACAAAAAGCAGAGATTTACAAAAAATAATGCAATATCTACCGAAAATTCAGTACTAAAAGTACTTCAACTATTAGGTTGAAAAATTACCTTTAATAATTATGACGAGCTATTCAAAATCTAAATTCCACGAAAATAAAAACTGTGATTCCATACTAACTTATTAGGAAAAAATAAGATCACACTTTCTAATACATTTTCTCCTAGTTTATCAAAATTAGAAGGAAAAAAATAATTTAACCGCTTGAAAGAATGACCGAATTTACTTACAGCTTCAAATAATTGAATCGTGATAAAGATCAAACTCGTTGGCTTCCATTTCTATTGCTTCAAGATTAATCGTACACAAACCGAGATTTCGTTTTGTTCTTAAGATTCTGCTGATTGGGAGAAAAGGAAACGCTATGGCTCTTAGTGGGAAGACTTTCAAGAGCGAGTATATTATACTATTATAAATACTCGTTCTGTTTCCTCGTTGTCTCAGTGGGCTACTGGTGTGATAAACTGTGACGCCTGTTTCTTGTCGTTTTTCGGATTTCAAAATTGTTCAGAGTTGGATTTAATGATGAAGTGAAATCTTTAATGTTAAAATTAAATAAATTAATTTGTGTTGTGCCATCACAAGTTGAGGCACGTATGTGTGTAGCTATGACATAGTCTCAAGATCAACTACTAATTAAAAAGTGCTTGATCGTGCTAATGATGTCGAGCAAATCAAGTTAGGATTCGTTTGATAGTGCTTATATTTTTACTTCTATTTGTTGTAGAACTTCATTTGAAAGTTATACAATCAAATAAGTCCTTAGTACAATATGCAGGACTTGAAGATTCCACTCTACTATCCATCGATCATAGTAATTTCATGCAATATGCATGTACGACGAATAAAGCAACGTGTGAGAGTCTTTAATGCACGAACACAGATAGGACGTTGAACTTGTTTCCTTATTCTATCAAAAATATTTCCATATTAGGAATAACATAGACAAGACATTTCAAGACTTCTCGAACTATCACGTGTCGATGCTTAGTACCTAAACTATTAGAGTTATCCCATATCGTGGTCATCACTCTCAAAGTACATAAACACTTCGACTAAGCCAAAATTTTGTTAACATAATTCTCAACACAAACTATAAACGGATTAGATGTCACAAGTGTAGTTGGTTACATTTTGTTTTTGTGGAAGGTATGGAAGGAACTCGTGTGTTCTTTTCCAAATTTAAGGCTTGGACCCTGTTTTGTGATCGATGTAAATTTTTTAACAATTTCTCATGTCAATAGTTTGTGTCGATCGGGATATTTTCATAATATCCCATTTCAACAAGATTTTTGACTAAAATATACAAGTACTAATTAGATTCAATGGCTTTCTAGATATTTATTTTTCATGTTCTGACTATTCTTGTAACAATTTCATATTCTTCGAGAAATTGAAGAATCTCTTCAAAACCATAAATTCATAAAGAAAAACTCACTTAAGATCTAAGACATCGTGTCTCGTCTACTTGTCTTCTGAAAAGTTGCAAGAGAAAGCATCAAGTAGTAAGCACGCTCTAAAATTTGTGCTCTCCCATTAGAATTTTTCCAAAGGTTTCAACAACACAGCCAAAATAACTACAAATCACGTACTTTTGAAATGATATGACGAAGAAAAGAAAACGAGGATTCAAGAGAATATCGTGTCAAGACATCGATAAAATGTTATATCTCACTATGCATTACAATCAAGTACATCCCCTCCAATTTGTAATACATAGAGGATGGAAAATTAAAACTCATTTGTGTTTTTTTTTTTCATCTACCAATTTAATTTATTTATTTATTAAAGTCAACGTTGGAAGAAATAAATCAATTAATTAATCTCAAGATTAGTTGAAATTGCAGTAGTTTGTCAACAAATTAAGCAATTTGAACCAACTGCTGATGTAACAAACAGCTACTTAACCAATAAACAAACACATCTGTATCTTTCTATTCATGCATTATTAGTTATTAAATGTTCCATTTGTCCGATTCTTAAGTGTGACCAATACGACGTGTACTCTAATCATTAAACGACACGTAATTTACAATGAATTTGTTTATGCTATATAATTATAGCATGTCAACTTTATCCTATATTAAACTTTATCGTTGACTTATTTGTTGTATAAGTTTCTTATTTTGTTTTCGTATTTCAGCGTGATAGGTAGAGCTAAAATTCAGCCTTGAAATTTTGACTTATGGCATTCATTTGGTTGAGATTTTTTCTAGTGAAAAATGTTTTTTTTTTTTTAAAAAAGAATATATGGTTAAAAATTAGGAAAAAGCTATTTTAAAATGTGTGGTTGAAAATAATTTTGAAGAAAAATAAATTTAAATGACTTGTAAGTCAATGAATGTGTAAGAGGGGGCTTAATTTCTTGAAATCGGAATTCTCACATACGAATTCTTGCCGTGGTTCGTGATTTTTTTTTTTTTTTTTTCATTTTTTGGAAAGATCAAGGTTCAATTTGGGAGGATTTAAATTAAAATTTAAAAAATTATAAATTATGGTAACTACGGAATGCATGAATTATAAGTTGATAATAATTGTGAATTTTACAAAATATATGCATAAAAAATATGTTTCACCAACTTAGAATGTATCCCTACAAGAACATTAACAGTCATAACAAATAAATTGTGGCCGTAATTTATGAATTGCTGCAAAGGCCTATAAGTTCTTTAGCCCCTACTTGACAACAATTATTTAACGGAATAACATTTTAAATAATGATTTTTAGGAGAATGTGTTATTAAAAAATAGAGAAAAACTTTGGGTTTATATGCAAAATATTTTATTGTGTAAATGTGTGATTGGAAAAGAGTGTGCAGATAAAAGAGTTTTCAAATAATGACTGTCAAATAGGGACGCTAATGTTTACTTATCTTTATTATTTTTTAATTGTTAGAATGAAAAGTATGATCATTTAGCTTATTTAAAAAAAATAAAAAAATAAATGTCAATACTTTAAATTACACTAAAGTAATGAATTGAAGAAGAAATAGTTATCAATCCTTGAATCCATGTTAACCAAAGAAGCACGTTTTGGCTCTATTTGACGCATTCTTTAATACTAATAATAATAAAAAAAAAAAAGATTGATGTAGATTGTATGAA